CAAAATTGCTGGCTGTTTGCCATTAATCGTAAAGAAAATTCTGAGACTGTAAAAAAATGTGTTCCATCACTTCTGAATCATTGTTTACGTGACTTTGTGTGTGTATGTGTGTGTATGTGTGCGTAAGTATGTATGTAATGTATGTATGTGTGTATGATGTGTGTATGTATAGGTGTCCCAAAAAATGTGCCTACTGTTTGATTGTCAATAACTCTTTTGTAATGAAGTCTTTCGAGAAACTTTAGGTAGCTTTTTGTAGAGCTGGCTTCAACTTAGCTTACAGTATAGGACGAGTCACCGATCGATATTCATTACTGTAGGATTACGGTAGCAACTTCAAAAAGGGTTCTGAGCCATGAAAGGCCTATTTTGCCTCGGAAAGAAAACAAAAACTGGAAACTTTCACACTGGGCTAGTTAAAGTTGCTCTGAATGTGAAGTTCGCAACTTATCATGATGCTTCATTAAAAAGTTACGCGAGGTAATCAGTAGCGGCCGTTTTTTCAATATACCTAAAAAGTGAGGTTACACCCTTTAGAAAGCTTCGCAATCTAAAAACAATGGACAATGTAACAGCTTTGAGTCACATCCTTTCTATCTTTTCGCGAATATTTTGAACATTTCTTTTTCTGTTACTTTGTGTTGACGTGCAAGTTTAATACAGGGTGCGGCAAAAGTTTGGGAGCCTAATTTGCAGTACTGCAATTATAAAGATACTGATGATTTTGATTTAAATTTTATGTCACATGATGCTGCGGTCATCCTCTACAAAAAACACTTTATTTGGCTCAAAATGGTTACCATATGTTTTTGTAAGAATGGAAATTACCAAACTAGTACTTTCGCAAAGCGAAAAAACCAGAATTTTTAGTATTTACAATTTTTGCTGTAGCTAGAGATGCTGTTAATATTTTACAAAACTTCGATGCACACAACATAGAAGAGGGCTTTGCGCTATTGTATTCTAGTTTTGCTTTTGCCAGGAGCTGTTCTTGCATGAACGGAAAATAAAAGTTTGCGAATGTTACCTGCGTGCCAGTGGAAATCCGTCTTCAGAACAAATTTAAAAGCTATAGAATGCTCATCAGGCACTGGGACCAAAGCTGTAGTTTTTGCATACGTCTTCTAAATTAGAATATATTGAAAATTCGGCCATGGGAACACTTTTCTACTTTTTAAACGATAATTTTAAATTTTTATTCGCGCAATTGTAGCCAAAATTCCGGTATGCAACGTACACATGTTTCTAATTGGGAATCCAATATTTTTATTCCTAAGCAATGCAAAAAATTCTTTTGGAAGCATGTTGTAGATAAAAGCTTGCTCTATTGTGCTGCACATTTGCCAAGGTAAAAGAAGCAGTTATTGTGAAGGCGTGAGGCGAATTCCAATACGACTACTTGCGTGACATGACAGGTGGACTTGCCAAGATTTTGTAGGGCTGCGTGGAAGCCAAATGAGGCAGTTTTGCAGTTCAAGAACTGGGCTGTATTTGCAATGGTTCGAATTATGTGTGCGCAAAATTTTTCGTTTCTAGGTGCTACCCTTCTCGTTTTGTACGAAAAAGTACTAGGCTCCCAGACTTTTGCCGCTCCCTGTATTATTGTTCTCGAAGCTGTAAAATACGATGTTCCTTAGAATTCATTTAACATTGATGCCTTCTAGCAATCGTACCCCTTCGAGATTTTATGTGGACTTGTGGGTATCTGTGAGGCGTCACAATCTACCGTTACTCCAGCTATCATTTGTGACATGTTTTATAGGTCTTTGAAAAGCACCCTCATGGCTTCTTTATTTGTCATCATTGTTCGAATGCGATAACACTTTGTTTTGCATATCATTTGTAAGCTAACTGCAATGGTCACATGGCTATCCTATGGAAAAACTATGGCTTGTGAATAACATGTTGACTCAGGATTCAAAGAACGCTGCGCCGATGAGAAACCCCAGAATGATGTTTTTGTGGTCAAAGAACGTGGCGGCGCTTCCCCCCCCCCCCCTCCTTCCCTAAACATGTTGACTTGGGGAGCGACGGCGCTGGGGGGGGGACGGTCGAGGAACCCGCCAGACGGATGTTTTTCTCTGCTGTTCCTCCGCAGCACAGTATCTATAGATAGACTAAACTATAGTTTTTCTCTAGCCTTGTTGGCGTCTTCGCGGGCTCCAGCAGCGCACTCACATTCCATTTTTAGTTGCACTTTCCCTTATCGTTAGATATACTGCAAGGATCTATACTGTGGCGTTTAATGGAGTAATAAATCTGATGTATTCAAACTTTTTTTTAAAACTCTAGCATAACTGCAGCAGGTCAGTGTTTCGAACTAACGATTATCAGATAACCAGATCAAAAATTTGTTTCCGCGAAGAGGTTGCCATTTGTTGGGATTTCTCGATTTGATTATTTGCATGCTGTTCAAATTGAGAAATCGACTGCTCAAATATATATTTACAATAGAAATCAACAATTTGCGCATTTTTGTAAAAAGCATACAGAAACTTTCAAAGAAAACTTTTTCGAAGTTTACGTTTAGTTTGCCAACTTGCATATTAGTCAAAGGGCATTCAACATTCAACTTCCCTAATGACTGTACCTACAGGAAGGCAACTCCCTTTCTATAAAATCGACATTAAAAGAACAAGTTTCCGGTTTTCCTTCAATTTAATCCGCCGTTCAATGCCATGTCAAAGCTGGCAAAACTCAAAAGATATTTGAGTGCTTGTTAGAAGCTTTCTTTGCTTGTTCGGAGGTACGATTGCACTTAAGATAAATATCTACAACATAGCATAACAAACGTTTTAAAAGAAGTAGTTCACTTGGGTGGAAAAAGTATCGCTTTATTTTCACGAAGAATGCATGACTAGCGCTAATAGCTCGAATTTTGTGGTCACTCCTTGCTTGCAAAGTTTGCAAATACCAAGAAAATTTTTTAAAATCAATCTTTTCATCACTTCTCGCTGTCCATCAATATAAAGAATTTCACGGCGTATGCACAGTTCAGAATGAGCGCACTTAGAAGGCGGAGCAATAGGCGGAGCCAATCTTCAGCCTTGTGGAGGTGTGATCTCCTTTCGAGGTTCCCTGAGGTGCTAAGTATTCCTTCAAGGAGAGGAGGGGAGGCTTTGAGAACTTCCGCACAAAATCCATTCAAACTTCCATTTGACATTTTGAAAGGCACTAAACTTGTTTGTTCAACGCATCGCAATACAGTAACCGCCCACAAAAGCTAAAGAAACGAGATAATTCTGGGCCTGAGGCTGTCATACTATCAGTGAAAAATTTCTGCTACTGTCTTAAATTGCACCCTTTTGATTTAGGCTATCAAGGCAGCACACGATTGTGTATTTACGGGGAAAAAATATGGACATGGTTGTCTGTGGCAAGATTCTCCAGACTTTATGATTGATTTGACTGATTTTCCAATCAAAAAAGTACTGTAGCAGAAGGATAGCACAAGATGCTGAGACTAATAAAATTTCAAATTCGGCACAACCTAGCAAAGCCATAAAAGTAACGTATTTCTCAATTGAAATCCAATTCATGAGCAATTGAAGTTTTTCAAATTTTGACTTTGAGCTTTATGTAGACCATATTGTGCCAATGTTCCAGTTTCAGCGCCGTTTTGTGAAGCTTCCTTTGCTTCAATGTTAAGTCATCCCAAACGTAGATTTCTTATTTGATTAATCAAACTGTTTTTGATTTGCTACCATCTTGGCGTGATATTCCATCGAGTAAAGCGAGCTCTACATAACGGCCACCAAAGATCCACTTAAGTCGTTATCCAGGTAAAGTTTGAAATAGACAGGAAAACTCAAAGAATAAACTCAAATTTCTAAACCACCCTAGAATCGAATCTACTTCCCGAAAATTTTTACGTGAAAGATTATTATAACAAAAGTAGAACACAGCAGATTAACAAATGCGAATGCCGTTTTCTTCCGTGGTTTGGTTTCTCATTCATAAGAGCATATACAGAGTTACAATTTAAAATCGCACTTAGTAAGGCTTGCAGTATACAGTCATATGAGGGGAAGCTGAAGGGGCGGGAGTTTGCTATTTTTGGACTTTCTTTTTTTCGCAATTTTCATGGGCGAAAAAGCAAGTGCATACATGAATACTATCATGTACTGTACATATGAGGCCTAGTATTTTTTTCGGAGGAAGCCTTCAGGCAAAGAATTTTTTTTCGATTTTGTCTCCAAACTTTACCTAGATTACGGCTTAGCTGGATTCTTTGGTGATCACTTTCTAGAGTTTGCTTTGCTATATCGAACAGTGCCTTAACTCGATAAACAAAAACGATTTGATTTTTATGAAAAAGATTTCACCTAAATTTTTTGCTTCTCTGCCAAATTGGCATGACGAACATGCAATGAATTTGCCTTGGAATATCTGGTTCAATGGAAAAATCAACAGTATGTGCTTTTATCTTCTAACTATGATTACGTAAAAGCTGTTGCTGAAAGAGGTAGTAAAATTGATGATTTCAGATTGTCATTACATATTCCAGGATGTGCGCCACTTGGGAGAAATTTCATATCTTATCTATTAACTGCCTGGTTAGAATTCCTTCGGAACTATCCTATGTGTTCAGCTGCTCCTTTTTTAGGAGTTCTCTATTTGAGAAGTGTTTATTGCAGTACAATGGAATGGCGCGTGATATACAGAATTTTACTGCTTCGCAGAAAAAAACTGTCGTAAGAGAGCTATCATAATGACACCGTAATGCACTCAAATATCAGAATTTTTCCCACAGCTTATGCCATTAACTTCATACCTTTGATTGCGAGCAAATCATGCATATTTCGAAATGTGTGCAAATGATACATTGCAATTATACATGATCTTGCCTTGGCGTAATTATGGAGAAACTTCAGGAAATTCAACAAAATTTGAAGAAAACAAGTGTTAAAAATTTCCTTTATTAGTAAACAAGGCGTCCCTCAAATGTCGTCAAAGGTTTACTTTTGCAGTATTTTTGACTGAAAATTGTTTGCTTTCCCATGGTCAATACTAGATGTAGGTTATAAAACAAAAAAGTCCTCCTTTACGAGACGTTTTGCTGATAAGATGAAACAATTGTCATCAAGAGAAGTCTTGTTTGCCGACATTGGCTACCATACCTCCCGCTTCATTCCAGTTCAATCCTTTCCAATACACATAGACCAAGTAGGTTTACCTGTTTTTATATGAATGAATTATTGAAAAAAAATCCGTAGCTTAAATTTGAATGTGGTTGTTTTAAATAAAAAGTTTTCCTTTAATGTTTGACACCTTCCGAGCTTTCTAGGTTTACTATGAAGTCATCCGGCATTGGGACAAACCTTGGTAGGCTGTGATACTTCACGAAATTCTTGGCTGGGTCATTATCAGTGCTGTATCTTGAAATTATTCTCGAAACTGAATTTAGGGAAAAATTTTATAATACGTATCTCTGCACGGCATTTCATTTTTAGGAGAATAACTCGATTTCTGTGAAACAAACATTTTTTATTTTTAAAAAATGTTCAAAAAATCAAATCGCTATTGATACGCACAAAACATATATACATCAATATCAAAAAAGCTTCCAGAATTCTGAATATGGTACTGTAAACATGAACTTCGGTAGTGTTTTGAGAAATGAAATTTCGAATCCTCTGAATCCGAATTGGATCTTGCGGTGCTGAAACTTCCTTTGCAATAAACAGGTCTCAATACTTAGAAGAGCAACCTCGAAAACCCCTAGATCCGAATTTCGGTCTTGTTGGAACGATTTCGTTACTGAACTTTGATTTACAATTTTTTTGAAATCTCGGTTTCAGCACCTGAAACGACACTGGACAAGGGGGCGGGGCGCTAGATGGGAAAAATATCGCTTCTAACGTTACCGTTACAAAACAATCTCTCAAAAATGGAAATAAAGTATAATTGAGTAAAGTAAGCTCTACATGATGAAGCTGGCGAACCTGAATCTACCCTAAGCCTAATCTGCAACATTCTGGTGACAATTCCAGCCTATCCAAAGTAGGGCAGCACTGAAATTGTCAGCATGAATGCGACAAGCCGGCTGAGGAATGCCCTTCACATCAATCAACTTAAAAATTTCTCATAAAGAATCTCGTGTGAAACCTAGAATTCACTGAAGCGATGCTCATTCGAGCCGACAACTCGAATAGTGAGTGGGGGTTATCGCCTCTGCAAAGTGAACGGGGAAGACTGAAGCGGCTAACTTCGCAAAGCAACGATCCAAGGTTTTGCAGACTCTCTGTTTCTAGTTATAAAATGTGCAGTTAACTGGTTTATATACAATATAAATAATCAGACAATTTTTGAGGATTCTATAAAGATACAGATTAGACTTGTTCTATATTTTTTTCTTCTATATTTTGGGTTACGGGCAGGCAAAAATTTTGGTTATAGTAATCTAAAAATCTTTTTCGAAATGCGAAAATGCTCCGCACTTTCATTCAAAGGTTGCCCTGCAGAATGGGGCACGGCACAGGTGGCCTACCAAGACAGCTGGATATTGCTTTTGGGAGAAAAAATAATGGCAAGAACTTTCGGCCAATCTAATATATTCGGAATCCAGCTTTTAACGCTAGCAATATCAGCTGATATCAAATACGATGATTTTAGCAGCATTTTTTCGAAAACGAGTTATGAGCTCTTTTTCTACACGAAATTGGCATATTATTTAACACCAGTACGTCACCTCTGCTTCGCCGGGGCTCGCACTAACTTTATATATATATATATATATGTATATATATATACAACTTCTCAAAACTTTTGCGGGTTCCCGACCCCTTTTTCCAGATTTCAGGGGTCGGGAACCCGCAAAAGTTTTGAGAAGTTATACATATATATATATAATATATAATTATCATGACTTATAATAAGCGGCTTAATCTGAAGTTGTGTGGAGTTTGTCCGTTACGAAATTACAGTGAGGAATGGTTTACAATACCAAACAGCATGTGAGGTTAAGATAGTGGTATGGTTCATTTTTAACTACGGCTCTCACTTGCAGTCAACCGAACATGACTTGAGAGACAAGCTCTCAGAAAGTGAGTTTACCACGGTTCATAACGGCCAGTGCGAGCCTCTGCGAAGCAGAGGTGAAGCACTGGTATATATATATAATTTTTTGCAAGGCTAATCAGAACTTTCAAAAAACTTTAAAAAACTATTTCAATTATTTACAAAAATAAACCAGTCACTGGCACATTTTTATAACCCATATAAGCAGCTTTCAAAAACTTCCTATTTTCGGGAGGGGGGGCCCCCGCCCCCCCCCCCCCCCCTCGGTACGCCACTGATATATATACAGTGTGTCCCAAAATAATGTGCACACTGTTTGATTTTGAATAATTTTCTTATTATGAGGTCTTTCGAGAAGCGGTAAGCGCCATTTTGTAGAGCTGGCTTCAGTATAGATTTGCAGTATAGAGCGAATCACTGACCTCTCTTCATTACTGTAGAATTACGGTAGAAACTTGAAAGAGGGTTTTGGGCCAGAAAGGCCATATTTTGCCTCAAAAAGGAATCAAAACAGCCTAACAACTTTTACACTAGGCCAATTAGAGTCGCTGTTTCTAACTGTAAAGTTCTCAACTTATTATGATGCTTGACTGAAGAGTTATGCGAGGTAAGCAGTAGCGGCCATTTTCTCAATGTTCCTAAAAAGTGCGGTTATACCGTTTAGAAAGCTTCGCAATCTTGAGAATAGTAATATTAAACTCAGCATCCCTAATAAGCCTATTACACAAGTTTTCACATCATTTTGAAAACTTTCGAAATGGCAGCTTTTTCCACAGTGGCACCATATGTTCCAAGTTTCTACCGTAATCCTACAGTAATGAAGAGCGTTCGGTGATTCGCTCTATACTGGAAATCTAAGTTGAAGCCAACTCTACAAAATGGCGCTTACCGCTTCTCGAAAGACCTTATAATAAGAGAGTTATTCAAAATCAAACAGTGTGCACATTATCTTGAGACACCCTGTATTATATATATATATATATATATATATATATATATATATATATATATATTAGGTCGTTCCAAAAGTAATGTCGCTTTTTTCAAACGTATGCCACATCTCGCGAAACAAAGATGTATAAGAGATTCTGGTATCATTTGATGCAGCATTTCATTCTCTTTCTAATGGTTATGAAGTTGTTGCGATACAGTCAATGAGCTTCCAGAAAAGAGTCAGAATCTGCGACCTATGCTTTTTGAGATGGCCAAGTTTCACAATTTTTCTAAAGTTTTATAACAAACCTCAAAAGGAGTCCAAGTAATGGATGGATGGAGCAAAACCTACACGAAACAGCACAACTTTTTTCTACTTTCCAAAGCTCGTCATAATTTTTGTACAAATTTTTTGATGGAACAACCGAATTTTAGCAGGCTCGTCTCAGACACAAGTGCATCAAACGCCAACAAGTCTCCGGATTTTAAAACTTACAAAGATGAATTATGGTTTGGCAACAATTTTACAAACCAAACGAGCATTTATCGCTGCGATTTAGCAACTTTCGAAAATTTCGGGTACACCTTGGGGCGCTTTGAAAAAGTTGAATAGTGATGATTTTATCCCGGAAAACTTGATGAATCGGAAACAAAAAACAACCGCTAGAAAGAGGAGAAAAAGCTACATCGAATGACACCCGAGTCGCTTGCCGGTTGTTGTTCTGTGAGGTTTGACTTGACTAAATATGGAATTTGATGGCATTGAGAAATTGATTGTAGAAACTCTTAGAAGCAAGCTAAGGAAAAGAAAAAATTACTCTATGTTCTATAGTGTTTGCTCTATCTATTTCACTTGTGCTATTTCGGAGATTAGGTACAAAAATTTAGAAAAATAGCCGAACTTGACAATGGCAAAAAGCATGAGTCGCAGATTTTGGTAATTCTTCGAGAGCTCAGTAAACATTACGCAGTGAAATTAGAACCATTAGAAAGAGGATGGAATGCTGCATCGAATGCTCCTAAGATCTTTTGGAAATGTTGATTCCATGAATAGTGGCGTTCATCCGAAAAAAGCGACATTACTTTCGGAACGACCTAATATATATATATATATATATATATATATATATATACTAGATGGCAAACCCGGCTCGGCCCGGGACCAAACTTTGCACACATACACTTCGGGGCAGCGAGCGTGTCATAGTCCACTTTTCGTTATCGATCGATGTCGATTTCACCGATTTTTTGCAAATTTTGAGCTAGGGGGCTGGGATTTTGCACAGGGGGGTAATCGAACATGCTGATCACCCCCACGGGAGTGATCAGCATGTTCGATTACCCCCCTGTGCCAACACCCAGCCCCGTAGCTCAAATTTTGCAAAAAATCGATGAAATCGATATCGATCGATAACGAAAAGTAGCCTATGACACGCTCCCTGTCCCGAGGTATATGTGTGCCAAGTTTGGTCCAAATCGGTTCAGAAATAAAAATTTCTATTCCGCACATACGTACAGACAGACAGACAGACATACAGACAGACAGACATTCAACTTTATATATAAGATATATACAGGGTGTCCCAAAAAAATGTTTTGAACGTTTGATCGTTAGTATCTCTCTTCCCAAGAAGTCTTTTGCCTTCTTCAGGTACTGTTTTGTAGAGCTGGCTTCAGCTTAGATTTCCATTACAGAACGAATCACCCATCTCTCTTCATTACTGTAGGATTACGGTAGAAACTTGAAACATATGGTGTCAATGTGGAAAAAGCTACCGTTTCAAAATTTTTCAAAAAATTGTGAAAACTTATGTAATAGGGTTTTTATAGACGCTGAGTCCAGTACTCAACTATTCACAAGATTACGAAGCTTTCTAAACGGTGTAATCACATTTTTCAAAAACATTGAAAGAATGGCCGCTACCTCTTACCTAGCATAACTCTTCAATAAACATCATAATAAGTTGAAAACTTGACAGTTATAATCAGCAACTCTAATTAGCCTGGTGTAAAAGTTTTCAGGCTGTTTTGTTTCCTTTCTGAGGCAAAATATGGCCTTTCATGGTTCAAAACCCTCTTTGAGTTTCTACCGTAACCCTACAGTAATGAAGAGAGATGGGTGATTCGTTCTATAATGGAAACCTAAGTTGAAGCCAGCTCTACAAACGGTACCTGAAGCAAGGCAAAAGACTTCTTGGGAAGAGAGATATTAA